CTGCAGTGGCAGCACAGAGAGCAGAGCCAGCACTGCCACTCAGGAGCTGCCCTGGGCTGCTGAGCCCCTCAACACACAGGGAAAGAGAAACCACCCCTCCCCAAGAGTTTCCTGGTGAATTAGGAAAAATGCAGCGAATGCTGGAAGCCTCAGGGAATAAGAGGAGATGGCAGCAGGAAGAGGGTCAAGGTGGTGTGTGAGGGCGAGCACTGATGTCCCAGTGGCCCTGACTTGCGGTCACCATTTGGCCACATCCTCCAGGGAGTGGCTCGGAMGGGACCCTGTCTCTGCCAGGCTCACCCACATCCATCACTCCTGCCCCTTGCTCTGACCCCRTTTTCCCTCACAGGCAGTGCCTCCATCAGTCCTTTCATTTGCTCAAAGCATTTCCATGGGTTCTCGGCTCCTTTCCCCAGCCCCAAATCATCCCAGCATCTCAACCTCTTCTTCCTGCTGGGTCGCAGAGCAGCAGCAGGAGCAGCCTCATGGCTGTGGGGTGCCATGGGGTGGCTGTGGGGTGCCATGGGGTGGCTGTGGGGTGGCTGTGGGGTGGCCATGGGGTGGCTGTGGGGTGCCATGGGGTGGCCATGCTCGGAGCAGCAGCCCCGCTGATGGGGACACTCTGGTGGCACTGCCATCCCGCTTGCCCAGCACAGGTTCAGGGCCAGCCCAGCCCTGCTCACACTCTGCACAGCTCCAGGGAGGGTGCCCAGAGCTCCTCAGGGGTCCCTCACTCTTCACTGGGCCCTGCTGCAGCCTGGCTGCTCCAGGCAGTGCAGGTGAGTGCAGGAGGGTGGGTGAGGGAGGGAAGGTGGGTGAGGGAGGGGAAGGTGGCCAAGCAGGGCTGGCGCTCGCCCCGCTCCCAGGAYGAGCCTGCACCATCGCTCCACAAGCTGGACCGGGCTGTGATTGTCTTGGCTTGACTTGAAGGACTTTCTCATATAGTTTGACTTGTTCTTTTCGGATGATGAATGGGACTCTGACTTCAGCAACATCTGTTTATTTTTCTTGTATGTAAAACCTCATGTGCAGAAGGAATTGCTGGGTAATTACTGRAGGGGGGAGCGTGGCCCTCGGACTCCACAGCAACTGCAGCACCCCAGAGTGATCCCACCCCCTCCCAAAACCACTTGGACACAGGTAGTGACACCTGACACCCACCAGGTGCCCAGCACAGCCCAGCACTGGTGCTCAGCCCTCACCAGCAGGTTGTCCCTGCCCTCAGCTGGGGTCACAGCTCTGCAGGAATCTGCAGTGCCAGCCCTGCTGTCCTCACCCCGTTCTGCTCCCCCAGGACACGTGGCTGCTCCCCATCACCTCCCTCACRCCCCACAGCCGCTGACCATATGGACCAACATGCTGTGAACCACTCCCGGGACCCTCCCAGCCCAACTGGGCACTCTGTTTTCATCCTCTTACTCAAACACAGTAAACAGAAATGTTCTTTTCCTGTCAGGTTGTTAATGGTTTCCACATGCTGCATGGGYTGGGACACGGTGTGTCACTCACTCCCTGTGCCCACCACGTGCTGAAGCAATTTCTACTACAGGACTGGCCCTGGCACTGCCCGGCCTCCCCACGCTGGACTAACCCCATAAATTTGTTGCTCTGRACAGGCAGGAGGATGGGGAAGGGACAGGACCTGCAGTGCTGTGTCACCTCGGTTGTCACCAACTCGATTGGGACAGCAGAGGCTGGCCATGGCACAGCACTGTCCAGCTGGGAGTGGCACCACCCCGGATGGGCAGGGCGGGTGGAAAACGATGGGAAGGTTTTGTCCAGTCACTAATCCCACCTTCCACAATCATGACTCACATTCCCAAAATCCCAGCAGCTTCCTCACGCAGGACCAAGCACTGTCCTGGCATTGCCCACGACACACAGGGCTGCCACGAGCCACAGGTGCTGCCAGCTCTTGGCCACCACCCCAGGGCCACCCATCACCCCTTTTTGGCAACGATAGAACCAACACAAACACCCTTTGGGGTCAGTGACCCGGGGTGAAGCCGAGCCCGCTGGCGCTCCGTACCGTTCTCCGCCGCTCGCTTGAGGTTCTCGATCATGGTGTCGTAGTGGATCCGGCACAGCACCTTCTCCTCCACCAGGCCGAACTCCTCGCCGGTGGAGAGCTGTCTCTTGCAGGAGAAGCAGGCGAAGCAGGCCAGGTGGTAGGCGTTGCCCCGCGCTCGCCGCACCCAGTCGCTGGCGTAGATCTGCCTGCCACAGCGGGCACACTTGGTACCGAAGCGGCTGCGGGGAGAGAGGAGGGTGAGCGCGGGCAGGGGACCCCACAGATCACCCCAAACCCCACAACAGCCCTTCATGGAGAGTTACATGGAGCCACACAGCAGTGGTGTAGGCAGGAGTGGGGTGTAACTCACGGCCGAGGGGCTGAGGTGACRCAGCGCCGTGAATCAGCTCCCAAACCCGTGGGTTTTTTATTTTGATAACAGCCAGTGTGAGACTGGGATGGAAACTGTGTCAGAGCTGSTTCTCTCCCACTGCCATAAATCAAACCATGTGTGTTCTCCTCACACGTACAGGCGCACGCATCTGCTTTTTCCCCCGTGGAGGAGGTTTCTTCTCTGCAAGAGGATGATGGCGGTGCTGGAAGGCAGCTCAGTGCAGTGAAGAGGAACAAGGCACACCAGGTAACTGTGTGMTCCTAAAAACCCCCGTTCCTGTCAGGGTGCTGATGGCTGAGGGGAGGAGATTCACAGGGAGCCACAGATGTGGCCCCCACAGCCCTGAACCCCCAGGCCAGAGTCTGACACGAGTGCCTGCCATGGCCCGGGTTTGATTTCTGCATTTCAATATCACTGCTGCTTTAAAAGAATAAAGGCAATGAACAGCAGTGAGAGCACCAGGCCAGAAGGGACCATTCTGCCACCCCAGAGTGGTGCTGACCCCAACATCATCACTGTCCCAGCACTGCCACTGCCACCTCAGGCTCCTGCCAGCCCCTCAGCCCTGCCCAAGCAGCTCCAGCATCTGCCAGAGCACCACAAAACACTGACAAGAAATGACCACACCGAGCAACCAGAGAGACCCCACACCACAAACCCTTCAGTGGCCAAAGCAGTCCCAGGCAGAGACAGGGCCCAGCTCAGGCCATCGTGCTGTCCATGCCCGACCCCACAGCACAGAAACGCTGCCCACCGTGGGCCCAGCACGATGTGGAAACACTGTCCTGCGCTGAGATTACTAATAGCAAAACTATTTGGGAGGAAAAGAAGGGTCTAAATTTTTCAGCCTGACCATAGCTGACCAAAAAACAAAAAAAAAGAAAAAAGAGGACATTTCTGTGCTGAAATTATACAGAGACTTAGCTAAGAGACTTCACTAATTTACTTCAGATGGGAACATTGTAAACTGACTTTGTGCCAGCTCGTTTATATAAACGCACAAACAAAAGAACTGTATTAATTTTTTATTTAGAAATAAAGATCATTCCTGTAAATTGAATTACTTTGAACAATGTGCTATGTAAACAGTCGCAGTCGCTGAGCGGTATCAAGCAAGGGGCAGGCGCAGGGAGCTAATGGCACGTGGTGATCGCTGCTCCCCGCGAGTCCCAGCCCGGGGAGGGGGGAGAAAAACAGGGCAGGGGGAAACTGAGGCACCAGGCACCACACAGAAAAGGTCACGCATCAGTTGGGCTCTGGGGGAGATCCCCCAGGCGCTTTCCGAGGAGCAGCAGCACCCAGGGAGCCGGGCAGGGTTTRCCCACCCGCGGGGACTCGTGTGGCCGCGGCAGCACAGGAGGGACCGATGCCGCTGTCCCCTGCACAGCCCCGGCGTGAGCAGCTCCGGACAGAGCCCGAGGCTCGGCCACAACGCGGGCTCGGGGCTGCGCAGCCTGCGGCCCCGGGAACCAGCGCTGCACCGACACAGAGCCGGGCAGGCACCGGCACCGCTGCCACCAGCAGGGACTGTCACTGCAGGGGCCACCGCCGTGGGACCGCCGCTTTCAGTGACAGCAAAGCAGAGAGAAATGACGGCAAAAAGTCTGTCCCGACCCATCAACCCTGTAAATAACAGCTCCAGCACAACAGCGAGCTCACTGAGCTCACAGGGCAGGGAGAGCCAAGGAGACACATCTGCTTGGGACAGGAGAGCACCAGGAGAGGGGCTCCGCAAGACTCCGCCACCCGCCTGGCAGGGATGGGGACGGGGACAGGGACAGGGACAGGGCCCCAGTGCAGCAGGAGACACAGAGCCAAAGGATTTCTCCAAGCCCAGAACCGTGTCAGGAGCTGTAGCATCACCCACCACAACCTGAGCCATCGGCTCGTGCCCTGMGCGCGTGGTTTGTGGTCAGGTGAGCAGATGCTCTCTCCAGAGATTAACTCTGGGAGATGGAAACCGAAAACGTTACCAGGGAAAACTCATCCTCCCAGAGACACTCATCCCAAAGAGACTCATCTCAGAGAGATTCACCCCAGAGAGATTCATCCCAGAGAGACTCATCCCAGAGAGACTCATCCCAAAGAGACTCATCCTAGAGAGATTCATCCCAGAGAGAATCATCCCAGAGAGAATCATCCCAGAGAGAATCATCCCAGAGAGATTCATCCCAGAGAATCATCCCACTGCCCCCAGGGGCGGCCGCATCATCTGCTGTGCGGGCAGAGCAGGGGCAGGAGGATGCCCTGGTGCATCCTGTCTCTCCCACGCCACTCGTACCCAGGTGCTGCAGCTCCCCGAGCGCTCCTGTCCATCCCTGCCATCCCCTGCGGGGACAGGCCAAGGGGCACCTGGCCCTAGAACCACTCACAGCCCCATCATCGCTGTCCCCTCCCGGCTCTGCTCTGCAGGAAGGGCCCAGCACAGCCCTCAGAGGCAGCAGCAGCTCCCAGACCTCGTCCCAGTCTCACAGCAAAGCAGCAGCAGAGCCTCAGCGAGGAAATTCCTTCTGCACCACGGCCATGCCCGAGCAGGAGCACTGTCCCAGTGGGACAAAACGGCGAGGGGTGACGGTCACCTGAGCTACAGCCAGGCCAGGGACCCTGTGCTCACATGCTCACAGGCTGCCCATCGAGGGCACAGCAGGAATCACACCAGGATCATGCCGGGCCTCGGGGCAGCCGCAGCCGTGGGATCTTGGCTGTGAGCAGCGCCTGCATCGCCCGGGAACACAACGTTCTGCTCAAGGAGCTCCAATTTTAATCTGGTTCTCCTTGAAGCACTGGAGCCTTAGATGCCAAATGTAATTATTTGACAAGACACAGGAAACAGCAGCATTTGCTTAAAAACGCATATGAGGCCATGGAGTGGTGGCAGTGCCAGGACCTACATAACCCGTCATGGGGACAGCAAAGGGACACTGGGAGAGAGAAGGCCTAACCACCCTCCCCTTGGCCAGCGGGGCTGTCACATGCCAGCCCTGTGCTTCACAGCCTCCATCCTCAGCACCCCCGACAGCCCCGGGTTTGGGGGGATCAGCCCTGCAGCAATGAACATTCGTGTGCCCTGTGCAGAGCATCCCACAGTCCCTTCCGTCTGCCTTGGCTCCAAGGACCACACACCATAGGACGGGGTTTGTGCTTTGCTTTAAAAGCCTCACACGCATTTAATCTGCCTCAAATAATAAATCAAAATTTTAAAATCCATCCTAAGGTCGGGCATGCCCCGTGCCACGCTCCAGGTTCCACTGGCTGGAGTCGACAAGATGCCAGCCGGGATGTTCCCATGGCTGGGCGGGTGCAGAGGGGACCGAGAGAGCGAACAACGAGCCGGGTTTGCCGGGGGCARCCGGAGGGATGCCGGCCCTGGTGAGCGGCTCCCGGTGCTCAGCCCGGCGGGAGCGACCCGCGCCCGCCACCCCAGACCATCGCACCGGGACCGGCCCGCGGTTCTGCCGGGACCGCGGCGATCTCCGCGGGGCCGGGAGAGCGAGGCAGCTCCGCACCCGCCGGGCTCCCAGCGCCGCCGCTGCCGTCGCTGCCGCGCTCAGCGATCCGCCAAAATAAAATAAAAAAATCTCTCCAAACCTCCACCATTTTTTTGCAAATGAAAAGTGCGGAGCGCGGGCTGGGAGCCCCCGCACCCCCCGAACGGGTACCGCAGGAACCGGGAGCGTCCTGCGGAGGCTTCCGCGATTTTCGTTTTATTTCCYTTGGCCCCGCCGGTGCCGGCGGGCAGAGCTTGGCTGCTCTCAACGAGAACGGGGTAGGGACTTCTCGGACGGGGGTCGCGAAACAGATTTATTTTAACGCTGTTATTTGACATATTTAGTCGAAGGTCATTCTGAGATCCCGGCGCTACTTTAAAAACGCTTTTGGAAAGATCCGCTCTTAAAAACAAACCAAACATCAACGGCACCAGAATGGTGATAAAAGAATGAAAACGCTCAAAATGCCCCAAATCAGCACCGGGGCCCCAGGACCCCCTTATGCCTTTCTTTGTTGAGTGGGGAAAAATTTCGCCGAAATCGCCGACAATTGCAGTTTGACAATAATAGCAAAAATAATAATAACAAYAGTAATAACAACAACAAAAACCACCACAGGGCAGGGCGCAAAGCACCGTGGCCTCGGGACCGACCCGGTTCTCCGAGCCCGCACCTCATCCGTGAGCCCCGCACTCCCGGCGGCACCGCACCGAGCCCGGCGGGGGCCGGCGCTGCGCTGCGGAAAATCGGGAAATCGCTGACCCTTTAATAAAAAACAGCGGAGGAATCTCTGAGGTGCCCCCCGAGCTCCCCTGCYCGCTGTCGCCGGGGCGGCCCCGAGCTCTGCCGCGGCCGGAGGATGCTCCGGGACCCCCGCGCCCTGCGGGGGTCATTCCCATTTCCTGCCCGCCATTCCCYTTCCTCCCGGGTCAAACAGCATTCCCTCATCCTGGTAGGATGGGGAAAGTCAGAGCGGGGCTTCCAATGTTTAGTTAAACCCCGGCAAGGAGTTTAAAATACTCAGTCGCCTCGTGCGAGTCAAATTAGGGAAAAATTCGTGCTTTAAGGTTTAGAATAAAAAGACTGTCGAAGCCAGAACATCCTTCCTGCGGGACAGGCTGCCCCGGGTGTGCGGGTCCGGCCCGAGCCCCGGGGCCGCCGCAGAGCCCCGGCCGACAGCAGCCGCTGTCCCTCGTTCGTTTCCGTTCCGCAACGCGCTCCCGCCGCGGACGCTCCGGCGATTGCGGGCCCACASCGCCAACAGGGGCTCCCCGAAAGCCGCTGGGCACCGCAAGCTGGCGGTACCTATTTACCCTCCGGCAGCAGTCGGGACGAGGCCGTTCGAGCCCCGTTTCGCCGCCGCGGGGACCATCCCCGCACCCCGCACCCCCGGAGCCGGGCGCTCTCGCCGCCGAGCCGGGAGGAGCAGGRGCTCGGAGCGGCCCGCACAGCCCGGCCGGAGGGCAGGAACTCCTCCGGACGGTTGTGCAGCTGCACGGCAAACTCCCTTCCTTCCCTTCTTCCCGTTTTTCGAGGGTGGTCTCCCTCCTGGTTGCTCCAGGGAGCCCGGCGGCTTTTCCAAACCTTCCCCACGGCAGCGCCGGAGCGGCCCCGACCCCKYGGTAGCCGGAGACGGCTGAGCCCCSCGAAGCGGCCCCGGCCCGGTCCCTACCTGAAGTAGTCCATCTTGCAGAAGATCTCCTTGTTCTTGATGTAGCAGCTGTGCTGCTGGCGCAGCGAGGTGCGGCACACGGAGCACTCCAGGCACCGGACGTGCCAGATGAGGTTGTTCACCTGCGGCAGAGAARGGGCTGAGACCCGGGGCCACCCGCCGCCCCCCGCCGCCCCCGCCGCCCTCCGCCCCGCTCACCTTCAGCAGGTACCGGTCGAGGATCTCCAGCCCGCAGCTGGAGCAGACGTTTTTGCCGGCCGACGGAGTGGAGGAGGAGGAGGATGGCGGGGAGCAGACGGACGGCGTGGAAGGGGTGCTGGGCGCTGAGCGGGCGTCCTCCTTCTCCAGGGCGCCAGGCAGCGGCTCCCCGTCGGGCTGCGACTGCGGGCAGAGCCGCCGCGGGGCCGTCAGCCGGGGCCCCGCCGTTCCCCGCAGCCCCGAAGCGCRGCGTCCCGCCCGGTCCCCGCAGTCCTCGGCATCCCCGGCCCCGTGGGTACGCACAAACATCCCCGCCGGGACCCCGTAATCCCCGGCCCGACGCGTCCCCGCAGCCCCCGGCCCAGCGGATCCCGGCGGGTCCCCACATCCCTCGGCACCCCGGCCCAGCGCGACCCCGCGGTCCCGGCCCGGTGGGTCCCGGCGAGAATCCGCAAGCCCCGGCCCCGCTTACCATGGCGCGGGAGTGCGGGTCGAGACAGCGGGCGCTCCCCTTGGGCAGCGGCTCCGGCGGCATCACCTTGATGGAGAGAGCGGGAGAGGGAGGCTGCGGYTCCATGCGCCGGGCGAGCGCGGGGCACCCTATATAAACCGCCTCAAAACAATAAATAAGAACTTTCTAGTGGCCATTTAAATCCTTTGCAACAAAAGCTGCGTCTCTTTAATGAAGCAATTTGAATGTGGATTGAATTCTCCCCCTGCCTGCACTTAACCCGGGCCTCTTGAAGTAATCGCTCGGTTCCCATGCGAGCCAAGGCGCTGAAAAACCCCCCAAACTACCTGCAATTAGAAATTGCCGTAAATGCCCGAGATAAGAGGTACCAGAGTGTCAATTCCGGCTGTCAATCAGGGAATCCATCAGGCCACCCAAAGAATTGCAAATTTGATTTTTTTAATGGTAGTAATTAAAAATCGAAATTCTTCCCCCTCTCCCTCCGCCGAGCACAAAACGCCCCAGAAAACGCCGGGATGGAAAAATCCACCCCTCTGGCGCGGGAAGAAGCGAGCGGCCCCGGCCCCGGCCCGGCCCCAGCCCCGGTACCGGCAGCCGCGGGGAGCCCGGCCCCGCTGCAGCCCCGCTCC